GTGTACAATCATTCGGGTCAGGACTCAGCACAGCTGGCATCGGGTCAAGTTGGATATCGTTTTAAGGGCGGAAAGCAAAGGGGATATCGTTTCTACAGAGGCCGAGGAGGAGAACTGCCGCAAAAATGCCACCGGCATGCCACCGGCATGCCATTGGCTAGCTGTCCATCAACAAACAAAGGCGTTGTTTTAGCCAAAACGCAATAGTATGACACCAAATTTGGTGTGTGCATGCGCGTTGGTGGACCGGAACTAGCCCAAAAACTTATGAAAACTTATGTGAATGAAAGCTGTGCCCAACTTTTTTCTGAATTAACTGGCACCGTGCCAGCTGGGTGCCAGCTGAGCTGGCACCGACACTTTGCTCACATAAGTTTTCATACCTTTTTACATAAAATGTATCTACACTGTAAAAGATTACATACGGAGAAGAAACAGTTTCATAATGTTCTCTTTTCAGCGTTTTATAGCAATTTGAAAACCACTCGGTCTGCTCCGCAGTCGAAAAATCGGCTTTTTCTGCTTCTCAAGATGTGATTCGACCACTTAAAAAGCTCAGAAGGCTGTGAAAAGTTGTTCCATGAAATCAGAAATGCATGAACACTACTACATACTTTTACATAGTATAAAAATGATGACGAGTTTTCAAAACAGGTCAAAAGGGACTTCGTATGAAATTTTCAATATAAAACGGGACTTCGTTTTGAAATTTCCCTGGTGCCAGCTCGTGCCGAGCCCCGATTCGGGTAGAGGAACGAACACCTCAATTGAGCACCACCTGCGCGAGCTGCTGATCTTTTCGTCCTACTGTTGTGCATCGTGTTAGGGCCAGTGGTCCGTGAAGGCGATGCCTAATTGAGATGTTCGTTCCTCTACCCTGAAAAACTCTTGAACTTGTTACATACCTGTCAGTATATTAGAAAACGAACAACCATGATAGTAGTATGTTCGTATGAATTGGTAATAGTCCGAAAGCGACAGATTTAGTACTCTCGAAATGATGCATTTGTATTAGCTCAGTCTTTTTTCTTGGACTTTACGAAAAATGTTTAGCAAGTGCATATTCATCAATAAACGATGCTAAATACTGGACCTACTGGGCTTCTAGACTTATTTGGGCTAACATGCGGAGTACTGGAAGGAAGAATTTGGCTCAGACGCTATCACAGTTCAAAAGACACTGATGGTAATCGTTCAGAATTTGCTACAATCTATCGCACAGTGCCCTTTCTGCACCAGGGCTGGGCACAGGTGGCTTACAAGCAAGTTGGATATCGTATTTGGTACAAAAAGCAAAGGAGGTTTCGCTTTTGTGGACAAAGACGAAGACACAGCAAAACTGGCGACGTTTTTTTAGTCGACGTTTCGTTTTTTGGAGAATTTTCAGGGATTTTTTCATGGAATATGGTATAGGATCAAAGGGATTTTTCATGGAATATGGTATAGGATCAAAGGGAACTTCGTAAACTTTCCAAAAGTCAAGAGGGACTTCGTTTTTTGCATTTTCATCTAGCCACCTCGTGCTGAGCCTTGTTCTGCACTTTTAGTAGTTGCTTTGCTTCGGTAGCCTGAAAATTGATAGTCTTTGCTTAACAACTCAACATTAAGTAAGCTAACTTGTCAATGTTGGGTTGTCAAGCAGAGAATATCAGTATTCGAACTCCGAAGTAAAGAAATCACCAGAAGTGCAGAAAGGGCTGTGTGCGATAGATTATAGCAAGTTCTAAACGATTACCATTAGCGTCTTGGAATTGTGATCCATGTAGAGGTTTAAGCCAAATTATTTTTTCCAATACTTTTTGATATCTGCTGAGATTCGAAGCCGAAATTTGTCTTGTATTCTGAAAGCGACCGCAACTTTTCATTGATCAATCGTAGAAAACAACGTCCGATATGCACTTCGATTTTGCTAGAAGTAAAATCTCACTGCCCTAACGTTTTCCATCCAGGTCGAATGTCCCACAAAGCAATAGTTCTAAGTTCACTGCAGCAAGGTGAAAATCTGCATAAAAAAGCGATAAAACTCCGGGAAACGTAACGCACAGAAAAACAACCGCTCAAGCGTTTATCGAAAACAGAAATCTATATCCAAAAAGTGTTACGATGTGCACTAGTCCACTTTCTTGAAAAGGAGCTCTGTTTCTGCTAGTGCTTTTGCACCGCAGTGCACTATTGAAGGCTGTCACGGCAGTGTATTAGGTTTTCCCGAAAGTTTTGTCCTTTTTTCATCGCTCACTAAAACTCACAGAACACCAATCCATGGACGATTGGATTTAGATTTTTAGCCTCTTTCTTACAGTTACATTTTTGCCCTCTGCTTTGCAATGTTATCGCCATGGCTTTTTGAGCAGCTCAGCAGTAACGCCAAATATTCCCCGAATTTCGGAAATTTTTGTCCTGATGTTCTCAAAAAGCGTTGGTATCTGTTATGCAGAGCAGACCTTTGGCTACATTGTACAAATTAAATTACGTGGACTACGTTTACCAACTACGTTATAATTATTTATTTAATGAAAACCGCGACTTTTTATTACGCTTACCACGTGAAAGTACCAGAAATTCTAAAAAGCTGCCTTTTTGAAACAAATCAAATTCGGTTATGTCGCATGAATAATGTTTGATAAGAATCGTATTTCAATTTGCAGCTTCAAAAGGCTTTCATGTATTTGCTGCATTTGCGTGTTTCAAGACTTTGCCAAAAACAAAACCTCCAAAGAAATAATTTTTGAAGCTAGGAACAGCTGAGGAGAATCTGAAAATACTACCTTGTAGTCCGAGAACTTATTTGAAACATACTTAACTGTTTCTGAAACTTTGGAATGAAATTTTCAAAAATTAGCCCAACTTTGAGCAGATAAAATTGACAAATGGAGAATTTTTGCACGTAGCATAGCATACAGCATACAAGGCTGTGGTTCGAAAATGTATTTATAAGAAAGAGAAGGAAAAGCTGCCGAATGCATGTTGAAACTCATTCATTTGTTTTTGGTGTGCGGCATACCTTCGATAGTCTAGAGACAGGGCGTCAAAAGTGAAGGTTGTTTGAACATCTGAAGTCATAAATAGTGAAGGTTATCCAAAGAAGATTAGAGATGAGAAAATGACGTAAAACGGATATAAAAAGCAAAAGAAATGGCTAAAAACCGGATAAAAACGCTGCAAAAAGGTTTGAAATCTTTCAATTGGCGGCTTTCAAGGTGCAAGTTTTCGCTCCAGGACCAGCAATTCGCAACACGGGGTTTTGATTTTCAATGCGTCCTTTAGATTTTTACCCCCGCATTGACGTTCCTGTTTCCTGGGACGTTGTCTGGATTGTTGCGCTTATTGTTCTGAGCAACCGCCCAAGCTGAAAAAAAAATGGCTGCGAAAGCACTGAAACAGAACAAGGTAAAGAAAAACGCACTTTTTACGTTTTCGCAAAAAATTCTACCATAATCGAAGAAGTAAGGGTTGGGTGGTTGTCTGCATTATGAGCAGAAGCAAGATCTATAGAATGCACGAAAAAACCGCGTGAAAAGAGTTAAACTATAGGAAAAACAAGAGATTTTCGAAAACAAGGTTTTTGCCGGATTTCTCGATCAAATCAATGTGGTTCTGGGACGTTGTCAGCGTGAAAATAGAGAACAAGAGCTTCAAAATGATATATAGCTTGCTAACACCGGGTTCGAAACAGCGAAGAAAAGGGTACCAGAGCCAAATGCCCCGCGCCCCGCGTTTGGGGTAGCGAGGTAGCGCGCGGCGCGCGGAGAGCAGAGAGCAGCGGAGACAGACCAGAGCCGACGGGGCATTTGGCTCTGGTCGTAGATCTCTGCGGGGTCTCAACGAAACCCTGCAACATTATATATCATTCTGATCGTCATGACACGGCAAGGAGAACTGACAACGTCCCAAGGCTTTGAAAGCCACTCATTAGCGAGATAGACCAGCGTTCTCATGCGCGACCCTCTGCGAAAGATTTGAGCGCAGTTTCTCTTTTAATATAACTCCAACAGTTAACCTAAACTTCTGATACTCAATTTTGGCAAATGAGAGAACAGAGAAATTTCGTCTTGAATTCTGGCGAAAATTCCACAGAAACCTTCCTTTCAACGTAAAAAACGCTATTAAACGCAAATTCTCGGTTTCGCTGAGATGAACTAACAATATTATTTCCTATATTCGCTTCATTAGCATTCGTTCCGAAATAGTCAGAATGATAACATCCGGGGCTTCGCCCAGGATGACTTCTGTTTTTTTTCAGGTAAAGGTTGTGTCCCCTCATAGCCCTCAAAGTGAAGGTTACCAGAGTACGTGGCTCTATGTATCGAGGGTATGGATTCTTGCTGAGGTTTGGCAGAAGCTTTGAGATTACCTAGCCGCAGCTAATGTTTTCTGAGACCAAAATCTATATGTGTGGGAGATAGGCTCGTTCCATTTCAAATAACTTGTTGTAGATTATTCGAAACCCAAATCTTATTTCAAACCGATATTTTCCCATTTTCTCAAAGCTAACATCAACAGAGCATTCGATCAGCAAAAATTTTGATTACTCAGAGGTAGATTACAAAATCTAGATCCTTATAATTCCAAATTTTATAGGTAAGTCTCCGAATTCATTTGTAGAAACTGGCATGCAAGCAATTTTCCTCTCAAGATTGTACAGGCCCCGTAAAATCCAATTGCCCACGCGTCGCTTTGAACACCAACGCGGGAAACGTTTGGTTCCGAAGCGGCTTTGCAGGCTTTTTGCGAGCGACAACGAGCGCACACCCTTTCCGCACATATTTTTTCAAACTTTTGAAGAGACCTTTCGTCAAGTTATACCTTGCATTAACGAGAACAACATGAAAGTTAAAGAAAGATTTCTTGGAATATAGTAAACGCCGACAGTCGTTCGCGACGACCGCTCGCTTACGCGGTGTTCAAGGCACGGCGCGGGCAGTTAGGTTTTACGGCGCTTATACCTCTTCCACAAGATGATGATATATATCGTGGTTCTAGTCAAGTATTGAAAAACTTACATCTAGCTCTTCTATTGCTCTTCTAAATGCAATGCCAACATGTCTGTCATATGCGTCTGCCCACTTGTGAGTAGCGACCCAGTTACTAAAATCAATGAAGAATTTGAAGCAAAATTCCAGGACTTGCTTCATTGAACAACTTTCTACATATAAGCATCGTATATGATATATATGTTGAATCAGCGTACTCGAATTCTCTTCGCCAATCCGGATTCTTAGAGTCACCAACGTTAATAGATACATAGGAATCAAATCTTAACACCATTACTCCAGCTTGTATGTTCCCAACAGCGTCAACGATTTCTTTGAGCCAGAGTTTTTGCTGCAAACGTAAATATGCCGCCTACATCTAGCCTTTTAAAGTATAACTCAATAAAATTATTCAAAATTACCCTATCCCATCCACTCCTTGGGACGGAGTCGGTATTGTCAACTATAAAAACGACTGCTCTGGTTTCAGCGTTATCAACTCCTCCACAGTCAAGGCAAAATACTCCCTAAACACGAAAGTTAGCACAGAAGTTTGTATTGATAGAATGTGCTTAAACGTGCCTCAGGGTAATGACCATAATGGACTGGATCCAATATCTTTGCATCTTTCTTAGGGTCTACACATTGGCATTTTCCATTCTTGTATATAGCCCGTTTGCTGCATTGCTCTTCGGGTCTGAGCGGAGGAAGATTTGGAGGATTTCCTATAAAGAAGTTCACTAAGTACGCTATAGCGACAAAGGAGAGGACACATTCTAATACATTTGATTAATGCATGAATTTGCCTCGGTAATCGAATGGCATTCACCCATCTCCGTTTTTGCTGATGTGTAAAATGTAAGTATACAGAATGTGTAAAATATGCACTAATTGTCTAGTCAAATAACGCCCTTGCCTCAGTGTACCTTACGTGTCTCAAGGTATAATATCGAAGATCTGCTTCAACCTGGAGCACAACCCGCACTAGGTACCTGTTCTGTTTTTTACCTGTTCTTATTAGGATAATCACATGCACCAGGTAATTTGACTAGCGTCCAGAAAAATTCCTATATCTGTGACTTTTGATTTCTTGGATCACTACGATTTAGCAAGCCTGCTCAGGTAGGCTCTAGCTTAAAAATACTGCGTTAAGCAAAGGGGATAGTCAAGTGTTGACCTTATTTACTGAAGTATTTGATTAGCACGGAAAACCTTTTTGAAAAGTATTTTAATTGTAGGTAGAGAGTCATCTGTGATATAATCGCACATAATCCCCCACTACTAATATAGCGGATCTCATTGAAATACGGCGAGAGTTGCTCGACTCTATGAAGGCTTAGGAAAATGCTGCATTATCTTGAGCTACCCTCGCGGGCAACTTATTTAGATATTGTAGGAGGATGTTGTTTCATGTCGTTCAAGGAGGAGTAGCTCGCTTAGGCTGCCCCTGAAGCGGAGTTCGTTCCACTAGCTCGTAGACATGGGAAGAGAAGCCAGCCCAAGGGGTTTGCTATTAATTTGGTATCAAAGGTGATGTAAATGGAATAAAATTTTGATGTATTCTGATAAACTCTGCTCAATTTTCAAGTTGCTGAATGTATCGAAATGGCTATTGAACTAACTGGTAGCTAAAACTGGATTGAACTTGGAGTATCACGAAGCGATTTTTCAACCTCTTTCCTTTTCCGTTGCTGTAAGATTACGGTAGGAACTTTTAGTGTACAACGTTGTGAAATAGCCCGTTTGAAGAATCAAAGAGTTTATAAGGTTGTGTAGCGGTTGTTCATGCTGATACACTACACAACTTTTTACGAGATTCAAGCTTTTCAGAGTAATTCCGAACAACAGTGAAAGGACCTTTGTCACTTATAGGGCACAACTTATGAAAGAAGCATTAAAGGCAGTGTCCAGGCTAAACCTAACCCCCTTCGATTAGTGTCGATCCTGAATGTAGGCCCCAGAAAAGGGGTATCTGCGTTGGTCCGGTCTTCTAACGTTGTCTCTGAATGGAGATAAGGGGCCTGGAAGTTCCTGGCTGGGCGGAATCTGATATCAGACTCCGCCCAGCCAGGGATGCCTCCTGACACGTATTAACGTGGTAGTGAGCAGAAGCTGTTCACTGCTGCAACTGCACCCATGGAGTTGCAGCTCCTCCCCGCTGGCATGCCGACGGGGACGAGCAATCCGAAACTCGTCCGCGCCCTCAAGATAGGTTCCCCAAGAATCGGGTTTTTTGTGAATCTTGGAAAGTTTGAAGTTCGGAACTGTAATCAGGGCCACGGAAAGGCCTCAGAATGACGAAAACATGGGAGGCCAAATTCTGGGTGGACGCTGCCTTCAAGTAAAGCTCCATATCTCAAGACACTTTTGTTTTTGGTCACTTTTGAAAGACATGACCGTCGGCGGCCCAAAACTCTACTGGAAGTTCCTACCTTGATTCTACAGTAACCAAAACCGATCGATGAATTACTCCATAATGTGAAGTGGAGTTGAAGCTTTAGAATACTCAAAAAACAGTAGTAAAAGGCTTTGTGGTGAGTGAGATATTGATTATCAGACACTGTAAACTTTCGTAAAATCTTCATTTGAGTGTCAAAGAAAGGCTGAGATTTAAAGAAGACAGTGAGAAGGATGGGCTTCTGAACGGAGAGTTTTAAGAATCCTGATTGACGTTGCTTTTCAGGTTATTTTAAAATGAAAATTTGGGTGTGTTTCATCACAATTCCCTCGTAGTTCTGACCCGGATTTTTTCGTGTTCTTAATTTACAAGAAAACTTTATTTCTAACATCGAAGCCAACAACTTGCTGCGTGATCTTAAAAATCACAGCAAGGGAACGATACACTTAATTACGGGTAAAAACTTTGTGTGTTTCAACAATATCCTGCAAATTCGAACTACCCGAAATTTTCAATTTGAACTAAACCTGCACAAAAACCCTAAATGCAAGTGATGAAGAGTACATGCAAGGGTTCAGCCAGCACAAGGTACTCTAGAGAATCCCTAAAAAAAGATTTCTCCTTCCCCCCCCCCCTCCGCTCCTTTCGGCTATGGTAACTAGGCTGTTTAATTGTATTGCAACGGCATAGGAACTCGTATGTTTAGGATGTAGACCAAAGTCGGGCAAAGATGACATTATTTTCTCCAGCCCACCTTAGGCTTCAAAGCAGGAATACAATGTATGAGAAATTACTGAAAAGTGACATGGCTGGAAGACGTGTCAAACTTCAGCCATGCATTCCAATCACGTAATTTTTTTTCGTAATTCTCATACACTGTTCCATCACTGCATTATGCATATCACACCAAATCAGCCATAACACGGCCTATGCATTGCAGTTAAATCATTTTTTACTCTTCATCTGCAAGAACTTTTGCAAAAAAAACTTGCCATTTTCTTCATGGACATATCTTTTCTATGATTTTTCAAATTCTATTCCACAAATTATTGGGTTGTCCCAAAATAAACCAAGTAAACTCCATTTTCAAATAAATTGAGCTGTTGTTGTTTTTCCAACAGACTTAGGGTACCATCCGATAAGGCGGATCAAGCTCTACGAAGAAACCACCAAATATCCACCTAACTTGTAATCCAGACAAAATTCGGGCCAAAAATCAAAATTTTTCAGTCAACCTAAAAATCGGATCTCCTTTAAGAAAATTCCTACGGACTTCCAACTTGGTTTTTATGTAATAGACACATTGTAGTTCCCAAAAATGTATTTGGTAAATTTTTCTAAGGGTTCAAAATGAGAAACAAAGGTGGTCCAAAAATGCTAAAATGCCGCTTTTTTTCGGGTTGTTCAAGTAAAACTTGGCATTTCTCAATCATAATAGCACATACAGGGGTAAGATATTGAGATTATAATAAGTAAGTCTTGTGTTAGGTTGTCCGGAAATTAATGCAGGTTTTGTAAATTCTCAATTCAAAGCGTCATAACTTCTTTGAAGTTGCATATTTTGATATGAGGTAAAAACTGCTGTAATCAGCAAGTCTTTATCTATCTAAAAGCATGCCCAATTATTTCTGTAGCCAACAAGCAAATTACTGGAAACAAAAAATTAAGAAGGTTTTTCTTTAACAAGGTCATATTTGGCAAATTGTAAACTGCTATCGGATATGAGTGTTCAGCGAGAAACTTCTGCAGCTTGTAGTTACTGACCAGTACTACATATATAGTTATGCAGAAATTTTTAAAGGAATTTTATGCAAAAGAAAAAGTTACGGAATCAAAATTTTCCATTTTTTCGATATTTCCTCCGCGGACGCGATCTCTGATAATTTGATTTTTTTATTACCTCAACAAAAATAAAGCCTGAGAGGTACCAGTCGAAATAATATCTGACGGCACTGGCCTCACTCCTCAGGCACGAGGAGAGATTTTTACGGTTGCTTTCTTTAGAAACGTTTTTTACGCCATGGAGTCGCCGCGACAACTATTCATATTAATATTCATACTAAAGCCTCAATTTCCCTGCTCTCGCAATAGTTTTAAGGAAGTGCCACTATTTATTTTGTAGGTCCGCTCAACATCTTGCTTCAGCTATATTATCATGGAAATACTCTTCTTGCCGAATAAGTTCAAGCCAAAATAGTGCAAAAGGTAAATTTTGTGATCCGAAGCTTCATCTTCGGATGGTTGTAGATTTTAAACAAACGAAGTTGATCGTAGAAGTAATATATATAAGAGACAGGAGCATGAAGAGAAGTTTCTTATAGTATGCGAAGTTGGTCGAAACATGCACATATACAGAAGAATGATCCTTTTGAAAATGCATTTGCAGAAACCTGCATTAATTTCCGGACAACCTAATAGTACACAATGACATATGTGGCAGAGGTTGGGGGGCGGAGTTTGCTATTTTTGGACTATCTTTGGTATTTCGCGTTCTATGGGCGGAAAAAATCTAGCAGAGGCAATTTGAGTACTGCTATGTGCCTGCTGCATAATGAACAAGTTTGGAGGTCTGTAGGGTTCTTCCTGGCAAAAATCTAATTTGCAGACGATACAATTTTTTTTCGATTTTGGCCTCAAACATTACATGGAATACACTCAGGCGGACATTTGGTGATCATTTTGTAGAGCCTGATCCACTCTATCGAATGATACCCTAATTCTACAAAGAAAGCAGAAACTGCTTGAATTATTCATAAAAAGAGTTTACTTTTGGGACAACCTAATAATACAGCTTACGAGATTACTTTGCGGTAGAAGAGTTCTAATGTGTTCTCGCAAGAAAGTCTTTAGAATTTCAAGCTACTGGAATCGTTAGCGGTTTAGGCGAATTTACGGAAAGTTTCATATTTAGATGTCAAAGGCAGTGGATCGACAAAATGGAGCCTAATCAGATTTTGGTAGCATTGAGTAGTAGACCCCCCCCCCCCAAGTGCACCGCAGCGCCACCCCCACTCTCCAGTTCATGTGCAGAGTCCTGAAAATGCGCTCGAAACATCCACAATGACGTCCACTCAATGTAATTAGGTTGCAACATCGCTGATCGACAGCGTCAAGCGGGGTGAGGGAACTTAGGAACCCGAGCCTAATTAGCGCGATTTGGGGAGTGCCTGCAGGTTATAATCATGCTCGCTGTCTCTGATTACCACTAGGACAGAGCAACAATCTAAGCCCCGCCCCATGAGAGCCTGTTTGGAACCTAGCCAAGGAATGCTGAAAATCTCAGTTGAATTTCGGGGCTGGCTCTAAGCCAAAAACCTTCAAAGTGATCGTACGAAGGTGAAATTAGGCTCAAACGAAAGAGAAAAACCGTGCCATCATCATAAAGTATCTACTGATTTAAAGTGAATGAACACAACATTTTCTTGGTTCAAAACTTTATTTAAGTGTTAAATTACTGAGAAATTATTCAAAAAACCGTCATTTTCAAAGTTTTATTTGAGTGCTAAAACCTAGCAAAGACTAGAATATCATTATCATAATATCGAAATGAAGTTCAAAAACTTCCCAAGGTTAATATTTATCTAAATGCTAAAGTTTAGGCGAAAGACTAGAAAATCAATTGCGAAACGACAGTTTATAAAATTCTCAACAGTAAAAGTTTGCTTGTGTGCGGAAGTCTGGGCAAAAGATTAGAATATCAAGAAATGACGGTTCAAAAACTTCACTAATGATATTGCTGAGTCTGTCAACGACAGACGGTTCCGGTGTGCGAAGAAAATCCTGCTAAGATGCTGGAAGCAATGACCTCAACCTACGCAAGGAAAGGTTGCAATAACAGTTTGAGGCGAAATTTTCCTTATAAATAGTAGCATAAAGGGTGAAAACCATTTATCAGCAATTCAGCACTCCAAAAAAACTGTATTTTCTGAGAAGTTCTTGATTTGTCATTTCTTGATATTCTAGTTTTTTGCCCAGACTTCCGCACACAAACAAATTTTTATTTTTGAAAATTATATAAATTGTCGTTTCGCAATTGATTTTCTAGTCTTTCGCCTAGATTTCAGCATTTAAATAAATATCAACCTTGGAAAGTTTTTGAACTGTCATTTCTCGAACGATATCTAGTCTTTTGCTAGGATTTAGCACTCAAATAAATTTTTTTTGAAAAACTTGACGGTTTTTTGAATAATTTCTCAGTAATTTAACACTTAAATAAAGTTTTGAACCAGGAGGATGTTGTATTCAATCAGTTTGAATCAGTAGATACTTTATGATGATGGCACGGTTTTTCTCTTTCGTTTGAGCCTAGTTTCACCTTCGTACGATCACTTTGAAGGTTTTTGGCTTAGAACCAGCCCTAAAATTCAACTGAGATTTCAGCATTCCTTGGTTAGGTTCCAAACAGGCTCTCATGGGGGCGGGGCTTAGATTGTTGCTCTGTCCTAGTGGTAATCAGAGACAGCGAGCATGATTATAACCTGCAGGCACTCCCCAAATCGAGCTAATTAGGCTCCTAAGCTCCGTCCCCCGTTCAAGCGTGGGTGTGGCACGCCACACCTGGGGGTCGTATTGAGGAGTCAAAAGGGGAGGGGGTCGCAGTTGGGTAATCTGATAATAGTGCCATTCCTTCACCTGGAGAAGGCTTTGAGATGCCGCACGACGTGATATGATAGGCACTGCGGAAGCACGAAGTACCAGAAGAATATGTCCAATGGATCAAACTGATATAAACGGGTGCCACCAGCCATGTACGAACAGCAGCAGATGACTTCCAGGTAAACGTTGGAGTGCATCAAGGACTCGTACTCTTGCCCTACTCTTCATCACTGTACTGGATACAATTGGCGGAAGCTTCATACGCCAACTTCCTTGGATAATGTGCGCAGATGATGTGATTTTGATGGCAAGAACCAAGAAAGAATTGGAGGAGGATTACTGATGTGGAAGAGACAACTCGAGCTGCACGGTTTAAATATCAACACCACGAAGACAGAATACATGGAGCTGGGAAGTCACAACGCGGCGGATGGTACTCTTCAAGATGAGATCATCAGTCGTTAAGCGCAGCTTGGTTGAAATGGAGAACCTTTACCGGGATTCTGTGCGACAAACGGATGCTCCTCAAGGTGAAGTCATAGATGTACCGCACTGTAGTACGCCCGACTGCTCTATACGGAAGTGACTGCCGCGTGCACGCGTAAGGAAGAACGGAAACTTGGTGTGATGGGAAGGAACGCGTATGTTAAGTTGGACGATGGGCATCACAATGCTTGACCATATAACCAACGACACCATACAACGTGCAAGTTGCCCTGATAGCCGAGAAGAGCAAGAAAAGCGTCTTAGATGGAACGAGCATGTAACAAGACGAGAGGAAGAATACATCACCAGATCAGCAATGACAGTAGAGGTTCCTGGAAGATGACTAAGAGGTAGGTCGAATGTGCGTTGGACAGATCGAATCAAGGCAGACTCGTGAGAACTTGAGAGAAACGAAGACCAAGTCGTAGATCGTGAAACATGGAGGAGACCATCAAGAGTAGCAGACCCGTATACTCAGATAATCGCCGGGGTCAGACGGTCCGCAGACTCGCGCTTTTCTGCAGGCGGTCAGCCAAATGGGCGTGGCCAAACCTTCAGCGAGCGGCACTTCCTTTACGGTCGCATATTCTGCCAGCGGACAACAATACAGCATTTTCTGCAAGCGCTCGGCAAACAATTTCTTTCAGCGGGCGCTGGCTAAATTTTCAGAAGCGCTAGGACTCTTTTAACGCAGTTTCGGGCATACGCCGAGTTAAGATGAGACTCTATGTGGCAGAAGTGTTATCGATGGTTTAATTAATCAAGTTTGAGGTACCTTCTTTCAGCGGAAGGACCCTACGGGCTGTGCGGTCCTTCACAAATGACCGTGCGGCCCTAAATATTTTTGCATACTCTCGCGGAAAGTCCGCGAGACGCGCCGCAACTAATCTATAAAAAAACCACACCATACTTCCACGAGCATTCTTCTAAAAATTGGCTGACTTTCTTTCAAATTTCTGCAAGCGGACCGCACGAAATCAGTGAACTATTTTTCCGGTGCCGGCTTGCTCAAAATTAGCATGGCCGCCTGCCCCCGGCGATTATCTGAGTAGGGAAGATGCAAGGATAAAAAAGCCGAGATCATGTCGTAACTTCTTCTTTCTGCGCAGATTATAATCGAAGTAATTTGTGCAAATTGGCAAATTTTCACGTTTTCGCAATATATAGAAAAGGGAGTAATTTACGAGGCAGCGAAGCTGCCGAGTACCAGCCGAACCTGCCGCCTAGCAACAGAGAGCGGCTGGTAGCTTAGTAAGGTAAAATGATCAACGTTGCCATAAAGGCTGATGTAACGTTTGGCAACAGCAATGCAAGTTTTTTGCTCAAAAACATAGTCTCAGCCCATGACTTATCGACGGCGGACCATGTTTTCCTATATACACTTGAAAACACTACTCGTAATCCCTTACCGTAAGAACAAATCAGTGCAAGACGTGCGAAAGCTGGCATATCAACGTAGGCTCGCCTCATTGCGATTGTAGTCCTTGGCATGTCGCTGCACAAAAGGCTAGGGTACTGATTTTCCCAGTGTTCCTCCAAAATCATCTGAAAATAATTTTCCATTAGTCAGTTTACTTTCAACACTAGCACAAACTTTCAGTCCAGTATGTACGGTCGAGTAGATTATCCGCTCAATATAGTGTGCTTGCACAGAGGGTGAAATGCGGTGAAATTTGCGCGTGAATAAACAGCCACGCCAGTACTGCCGGCATTTTGCGCGCGCAGTTGACCGGAGCCACAGTCGAAGCTATTTTTTTACGCGCAAATTTTACCGCATTTCACCTTCTGTGCAAACACACTATAGTAAGCCGGAAAATCTACTCGACTGTAGATAAATATTATATACCAGTGCGTCACCTCCGCTTCGCGGAGGTTCGCATTGGCTCTGCTATCCGTATGCCTTATTCATGCTGCCAAAATGATGACTTTGAAACTTACCGCGCGAGGGCGTACATCATAAATGAATTGTAAACAACTGTTCATTTTTGAAGCATCTCCATGTAAGATCGGCAATTTTGAGAAAGAAAACTCTTTTGCCAAGGAATAAATACGAATTAGAACAGACTGTTGAATTTATTCTGGCTTGATGATTGTTGTAAAAATAATAGTCATTTTGGGCTAAATTTCCGTGCAAAAATCTTTTCAGATTCTTAGGTGAAACCTTGCCAAATCGACTCTCTACACTATCACTACTTTTTGGCGCTGTTTTCGCAGAAAAGCAAACTTTTTGAGCATTTTTTGAGCTAGAATTTTTGCAGCGCAGATTTGCTTGTCAGGCAAAACAGGACTTTGTAAAAAAGTTGAATTTGTGACCTATTTTGCGCGCCAAAAGCCAGCTGGACCGTTTGAAGCGCAAATTTTGAAGGACCCGCTTATCAAACCGGCTCGCCCTTGTGCATGGTGGGCCTATATGCTGGTACGGTATGCTATGCAAAATTATAGGTCGATAGCTTGGCTGCAGCTCTCTCTACGAATTTCGTGACAGACAGACAAACACATGCACGCACAAAAAGACAGACGTTTAGCGCTTTATTATAAGTCATGATAGATTTACTGTACTGTGGTCATAATTAGGGTTGAGCAAGAGGTCGGACAGAAGCCCTTCAAAAACGATCCCCCCCCCCCCTGTGAAAGCCCCTAAACGACCCTCCGCTTCACCTCCAAGTCCTAAGGTGTCATATTTTGAAGAAGACCAGCCTTCACTGCAGGTTTCTATTTTTTGAAAGTCCGTAGGCCCGACTTTCTGCGATCGCACAACCACACGCAACTTGACGGCAAATTTCAGATCTGTATGGTCCTTTTTTCAAAGCTATATTTTTCACAGGGGTGGAGCGTTTGGCTCCAAATTTTCAATCTAGCAAGAAGAGGCATTGCGCTCAATACTCATATCAAAAAAGGGGCGATTTCCGAATTTTGAAAGCAAGTTAAGAGGGTCAGGCGCAACCCCTCAAAAGCTCAGGCGGCCTAACCTTTTGAGGGGTTGCGCCTGACCCCATTAACTTTATTTCCGAAAATGCTTTTCTAACCAAGTTTTATGTGATTCGCTAGCTCAACCCTCGAAGACTCCACAATGAGTGTTTGAGCTTGATTCGAGTTGTTTCGGCCTTGTGCTAATCTGAGGAGTCGAAACTCTCAACGTGAAAAACGCTCCGGTTAGAATTTTGGCAGCACTTTTTACTTCATTGTTTGAAAGCGATATGGAGCCCTGTAGCATAGACTTGTAAAGAACATTGCTTTGTTATGAGTATACAAAGCTGACTTTTCTCACTTCTGCAACCAAGTTGATCACGCTTGAAAATCACGCTTTTTAGACGTTGAGAAACACTAGAAACTGCAGTAGGTAATGGTTTGTAGAGCTAGAGGTAATTTGACATGCTGATTATGGAAATGATACCCATTTCACACAAAAGCCTCCTTGTCGACCTCATATGTCAAGGTAAAAGAGATGAGGATTTGAATTTTGGCTGAAACTTCCATTGTGAAAACAATCAGTATGCTGTTTATGACCGTCACTCCTTCATGTGATCGCGATATCCACCGGACTAACGCATTTCTTCTTCACCTTTGCAGTATCTCCCCAACTTAACAAATCCGATTCTTAATTACGACCCCCCCCCCCCTCCTCAGTCTTACCCTCAATACGATCCCCCAGGTCGGGCGCGCCTGACCCCACGCTCAACCCTGGTCATAATTAAACCTAAATTTATAGTAACTAAACTTTTGTAATTTGCCCAGCGAGGATTTCTATCAGTATGTTATACAGATCCATCCCTACTTTGTTATAATAGTCTTCTGTAGTATCTCATTATGCATTGGAACAGACTAAATCACGGCGTAACCCGGGCACACACGTGGTCACTTCAAAGGGAACAAAAGCAAAGTAGCAGTCTAACATACGAGATTGGTGATTCAGCACGTTTTTGCACACGCTTTCGTCCCCTCCCCTGCAAGTAGCCCTACTTTACTTCCTAGTTCCTCCAACTGCCCTTCACTTCACCGTCGAATCCACTCCATTCTGCCGCAAGCGTTCTAGCGGCATATAAACATCATAAGAATCTACTTCAAGGCAACATCAGAAAAAATTTTCCCGTAAACCTTGGTCAAAGGAAACAATCTTTCCTGAAGCTCTCATGTAAGGTTTCGTCAGGTAAATTGACGACCGCCCACTTCCTCGTGCTATAAGAATACAACGTCACCTGACATATGAGCCTCAGGTCAAGTGTAAGGCTCGGCATAGTTCCGCAGAGCAGCTAATGCTAAGACTGATGAAGATAGCGTATGTAAGATATTCAATGTTCGCCGGCCTTAACAAAACCAATTCCCAACAACTATTTATTAGCAAGGAGGTGATCATGCAATAGGACGAAACAAGTGACCTTTCGGATTAAGGCAACTAGACTACAAAAGATCGCGGTGAGCCGTCGGCCAGCGGCGGTGAATCATGACGGCCGATATAAGTAAATAAAGGTGCAGTCGCTACTTGCAAAATAACAAAACAAGAGTAAGAGAGTTCGAAGAGGAAGTTGAGGAAACTACATTGAGTAAGAATGAGAAAAGGTACAAATGCACACCGAAGGCTTCCAACGGTCTCTTATATATGTTTCACTAATGGATGCGAATCATACATAGTCACATAAAACATATGGTAAAAATGGGGTTCAGGTTAACATTGCCTAATGGAAAATACACAAACTTCCTAATGGGTCTATTATCCTTCGATAGTTCCCTGAATTTCTTTCTCTTGTTCTGCTAGTTCGTTTTCGTCATGTTCGATCACTTCGCTGTTGCAATGTTTGCTTACTCACTCGTTGTGTAAACATAGAGTCCGCTGTTCGCAGATGCGCGGAATATTTGGCAGGCACGTTACATCTACGGGGGATCGAAAGGTTGCGTCCCGCAACCTGAATATTAGAGAATTGTAACTCCAAAGGTAATCAGCGTTTGTTTGTTGGTGTTCCTTTCAGGGGCATCGAAAGTTGTCAAAGGCTTCTTCTCTTGATGGATCTTCTGCATCAATTGATCCCAGAAACGACGATACTTCGTATTGACATAATTGAATAAATCCTTTCCCATTTTGTGTCGACACATCACTACTGTATACACATGTCCAATGCGGCTCGCGCCCAAGGCAAATGGAATGGTTGCGCGGCCGGTGTCTTGACGCGAGTTCCAAATCCTAACTAACTAATAAAGTGCCATTTGCCTTGTACATGGTCCATATTCCGCATACGGGTCGTCTTGCGCAACCATTATCTTTAGACCGGTCATCATATCCAATATACATCAAACTACTTCTAACTAAGGGGAAAAGGATCTGCCTGGATGTGGACAATGCTCTACGATGCCTTGAAAAACGGAGTCTGGAATTATGAGGCGCCTCTAAATGCTCCGTCATTCAATCTTGGGGCTGAATTCCAATTGGAGACAGCAGTAACTGAGGTTGTTTCTTGCCGTAGACGTCGGGATAATCGTCGATATTTTTTCTTTTTTAGTTATTGACTTTACCATTAAACCGAGACTGTCCGGCCGTTACAGTCCTGGCTTTGTCCAGTGGATCTGCCAATGTTTGCCAATACATTAATGCCTTGCCAAAATTGGGTCGTAGGTCTTGGTTCACTTCCTGAGGAGTAACGGCGATACATGGTGAGTCTCATTTCTCCTTGCTTCCATCCTATAGAATAATATTACTAACATTATTAATGATACAAAAACTTGTACAAATCTGTGATTTCCATAATATTGTCATGATACAAAAAGGAGTGGAAATATGCTTATCAGATAAAATAACAATTTTTTTTTACAACATTACAAAGAAAGAAATGGATATAGTTGTTGGGAAAATTTTGTTTTTTTTTTCTCTTTTCTTTCTCTTCTTCTTTTATCTTCTGTCTGCTTCTCTTACTCTGAAAAGGTCTTATTTATGTAGTTTTGTCCGATCAACATGAATAATCCTTTTGAGCTTGCCGTCCAAAATGGTAATGTTAGGTAGATCAACAGCAATAATTGGAAAAGGTCCTTCGAATCGTGTCGCAAGTTTATGTCCAGCATCTTTCCTTATCCAAACCTTCTTTCCTATCTGATATTGTGTCTTTGGGGTCCTTGCTCTCAGATCGTATTGACGTTTCTGTTGATCCTGTGCCTTTATCAAGTTCGAATAGACATTTTGATACGTATCCTTCAGAATTTTGACAAGATTGCCCACATAGTCTTCTGTATCCACATATTTCTTCGTTGGTAGCTGAAGCGCTAGGTGGAAGATATTTGTGGGATCGCAGCCGTGGACAAGGAAAAATGGCGTAAATTTGGTTGAGGCGTTTTCCGCACTGTTGCAAGCGTGAACCACAAGATGAAGAACGTAATCCCATTCATCACTATGTTGACGAGTAGCGATAGCGATTTGTTCTTCTAATGTACGGTTAACGCGTTCCACTTGTCCATTTGATTGGTGGTGGTATGGGGTACTTGTGCGATGTTGGACATGTAAATTCTGTAGAAGGGTACGGAAGGTCTCACTCATGTAGTTCGATCCTTGATCTGTCACCAGT